TAGAAAGAACATTATCAACCGCAAAATGTCTCAGCTTGACTGACGGCCTTGTGCCATATCTACGCTACGCTTAGTAAAGCGTTATATGTATTTCTGTGGATGTGTGTGTATGCGCGCTCGTGCGTGTTCCCATCCCTGTCCAAACAAATGCTGTTAAATTCAATTGTCAGTACCATTTGTTTGATGCTAGATTGAGTTTTTCCGGTATTCAAATAAGATATATAAAATTATGGATAGACACACGAAGTTACTCTTTTGGTTTGTATCAAGTAATTTCGAACGCCTCGGTCATTATCAAGAACCCGGTGCTGTTACTTTGTTTGACTAGATTTAGTTGGACGCATGCTGACATATTTTGACTTTAGAATTCAAATTAATCGAAAGTGACGTCATGTATAAAACGGTTAAACGGAGCTAGGCCACATCGGAAAAGTATGTCAAAATTCTCACTCCTTAAGATTAATGAACTATGGTAAAAAAAACGGAAATTCCAGCAGGATAGAATATTAAATATTCTATTTAAAAAAAATGATAAAAATGTATTTTATCTTAAAATCTGCAAGAGATAGAAAAGATATATTTGATTCCTTGAATTTAAATTCGCAAATTTATTAGCTTTACTTGAGAGTAACACTGTTTTAGCGATTCTGTGTAGTCAGATCTGCCACATCTATAGCAAAGTCATTTTTCTTTTCTTTATTTTAGATAAATGCTGCCAATTTTTATATTATCTGATTTCGCTGTAGACGTAAGCAGTGTTTGAAACATCATGTAAGCTAATGATTAATACACAAAAGAAATAAGAGTTTATTGAATTACCTTTATGTAAACATATTTTTAAGACACTTTTGTACATGGCCAACACTGACTCTTAATCCATTTTCCGCTTTTTAAAACTGACTGCGCAGCTTCCAATAACACTGAACCTGATTACCATTTGGGCAAACTTAAACACAGATCAAAGGAGCCGGCAAAGATCAAAGCACAATCGGCCTTCTTCAACGACCACTCGACAATATCTTAAAGAGTGAATTGATTTTGCGACCCTCTGCGTATAAGTATCATTTCCCAACAACGGAGCTCAGGTAATTAGCTTGTAATCGCGCCTCGCGAAGCGATTCATTACTGGCTGTGATTGAGTTAGCTTTGATCGGCGTAATGCAATGCCACCTGAGGTCGAAACATAAACGCCTACTTTAAGGGGTGATTGTGCGTCAAGTCTGCGCCGAGTGATTTTTCAAGCCTCCTCAAGTCTTTACGAATATCTAAACATTGGACTGTTTGATGTGCTGGCGTTCAAAGCCGAACACTGAATATAACGACAGCGCAATGTTCGAAGTGCTTATTCAGCTGGGAAATTGGAAGAAAGCCCCGGTATTTAAGCAAAGGTCAGTCACTTTTAGGAGAAGAGCCGAGAAAGCGAGAGATGGGGAAATTTTGTTAAGTTTGCTTTAGTTTGGCAAATGGGCATTGAAACCCCCAGGGAGCGCATGATATATGTCCAGTGGCATTTGAAACGCTAATCTTAGCGAAAATGTACTATGGAAGAATCGGAAATTCAAGTTCATACAGCATTTTAACATTCTTAAATCTTTTGTTTTTGCAGTATGGGATATAAAAAAAAGACAACGATAAAAAGCTTTGGAAAACTAATAAGATCATATTGGACGAGTTATCTCGTCTACGCACCTGTCTCCAGAAATTGGAAAAAAAAACAACAAATAATTAAAAATTTAATCTCTCTACGTAAGCAGGAAAACTGAAAGAAAATCTCGCTCACTATTTATATTATTCGGACTATTGTCCTCATCTTTGTCGCCATATTTATTACAACGTTTCGGCCGTTGTACGCTCCGGCATTCTTCAGGTGGTTGGAATGTCGAACTTAACCCTTTATTTCGCTCACTGGGGTGGACTGTTCTAGTTCCACATGCCATGTTTAATGGATGTCAGTTGTTAGTTATTTCCTGTTAATTCCCCTCTCCAAGTTCTCCACCGGCTTAAACGGGTATTGAACTCACAACTCTTTGGGTCCTGTCACTGGATCTAAATAACAAAGACACATGGCACAGTGGATAAAGGCAACTGACATTTGGTGAATTTCCGTCCTTCCCTGGGTGTAAACGCACGGATTCCCCACAATAAATCGAACCCAGTGCCACATCACTTCTCGGTGGGGAGATGAAGTAAATACCCATGTAAATCGACGGGAAATAATTGCATAAACATGACGTTCCACAATACTTCAAACAAAAGGTTAGGTAGAAAGACCCCATCATTACTGGGAAGAGCGATAACAGTTACTGGGCTGAGGAAATATTTTAATGAGAAGATTTTGTAAATATTCAACCAACAGTAGCACTTTCTACTCGATCTATGAATGCTGAATTTTTCCTTATCAGTAGACAGCTAATAATATCATTACCGTTGCCATATTGTTGATATTATTTTTTTTTGAGAAGTTTAATTGGCGGGGATACCTGGCGTTGCTCGGAAGATCTCTGAATAAGAGACAATTGACAATTCGTATATTTTGTTCTGTCATCTATATATGCATATAGAAAGGGACGTTGTCTGTGCATATGCGTGTGTGTGTCCGGCTAAAACTAACAAACTAAAACAATTACCACAAAGTAAATATATATCCAGACTCATTATCAAGCAAGCCAAGTTTTTGTAAAAAAAATACCATCGTATGATTTATACAGTGTGTATTTACGAAGATATTTTAAAATGAAAATACATTCTCAGAAATAAAAAGTAAAAACGAACGGTAATATTCCTTATTCCCGTTTAAGATTACTGAAACGCTATACATGTATGTATTTTTAAAATTTCTGTTCTCTTGAATTTATTTTCATATCTATAGTAAATAAAAGCTTAACTACAAAATATGAATATTAAAACAACAAAGCAAATTTGAAAGAAAATTAATTACAATTATTTGACAAAAATTTTAATATTTATTTATTCAAATATTCGAGTGTATGTACAGCTAAAATTTAAAAACTACAAAAAGTAATATGTCTGTGTGCCTGTGTATTATTGACTTATTAATATTTTTCGGCTATCTTATGGAAAATATTTTTCATTCAAACTTGAAAAAATAAACTTCATTGTGTTTTTGTTTGTAAATAGTATAAAAAGTGAATAATTTTCAATTAAGTTTTATTAAAGCGAAAAACTATAGCGAGTTTTATTTTATCGAAAACTAATTTCAATGAAAAATATTTAAGTTCGTAAAACTAATTCACCACGACTAACGTTGATCTTAAGTAATTTTATTTAACTAAAAAGGTTTTTTTTCTTTTCAACTACAAATATAATTTGGAGTTTAAACATAATCGCTATTTAAAACTAAATTTCCAATGTTTCTTCCTTCTACTTCTGTTCAAAACAGAAATTAAATTCATTTACAGAGAAATGTTTTTCTTTAATGTAATATTTGAAGTAAAACAAAATCTAAATTCCCCTCCAAAATATATAGTAAAAAATAAATTTTCGAACAGGCATGGATTGCTCTAGAGTTTGCTTGAAAAAATAATTAAATTAAATATTTAAATATATTAATTAAGATATACTTTAAATATTCAACATAATCATTTTTCAAGCAAGAACTAAAGTGAGACTTACTTCTTCGAAAAAAATTATATATACTATACATTTTGGCGACGGATTTGGATTTTTTAAGTAAATAATGTTCTATTTTTGAACATTAATTACTATTTTGAACGAGAGCATAAGCAAGATATATTGAGAATTTACTTTTGAAAAGCGATCATCTTTAAATTTCAAGTTAGATTTGTATTTGAAAAGAATAAATTCCTTTAGTTAAATAAAAATTAGCAGTGACAGACATGAGTTATGGTTAACAGCTGTCCTGTTGAATAATATTTTTACGAATCTAAAAATTTTCGAAAAATAAGGCTTGCTAAATTTTTTGGTTAAACTTAATGGAAAATTATTTACATTTTTATGTTAGTTACAGACCAAAAAACCCAATGAAATTATTTTTTAAAGATTGAATAAAACGTTTTCCATAAATTAGCCGAAAACTATGAATAAATCAATAATACACACACACGTTAATTAATGTAGTTTTTTTTTTTTTATTTTAGCCGTACACACATACCTTCGAATATTTGAATAAATAAATATTAAACCTTTTGTCAAATAATTGTATTAAATATTCTTTCAAATTTTCTTCGTTTTAATATTCATTTTTTAAAGTTACGCTTTTATTTACTATAGATGTGAAAATAAATTCAAGAAAATAGGAACTTTTAAAATACAAACTTGTATAGCGTTTAGAAGAATTAAAAAGTAAAAAAAGAACAGTAATCCGATTCGAGAATAAGTATTATTAACGTTCGTTTTTTTTTTTACTTTTTAATTCTGAGAATTTCGAATGAATTCAGATGCATTTTACTTTTTAAATAACTTCGTAAACACAAATCATACGATAATAAGTTTTCACAAATTGCTGCCATGTTTGATAATGTCTGTATATACATTCATTTTGTCAGGAATTACTGTAGTCTGTTAGTTTTAGCCGGGCACAGACGCACATACAGATAACTGTCCTTTATATATGTATAGAGAACCCATTTTCTGCCTTATGATTAGTAGATGAAGCAAAGAACTATTTAATTAATTTACGAGGAATTTGTTAAAATTTTCAAACGAATGTCTTCATGTTCTACACCTTATCAACGCTTTGCATGTTATTTATAGCCAGAAAATATTTTTAGTTTATGAAGTTTTTGCGGGAGAGATAATAATGACTTAGTGATATAAGTCTTAATAATTAACCATAGCTGGTGTAGAAAGTGTTGATTCATACATTTCGCAAAGTTATTTGCGCGTAATTGAATATAACGAACTAAACGGGAATTGGAACTTGGCTCTCTGATTACCTATTTTGACCCTTTATACCTTAAACTACCCGTCATTATACCATACCATTATACCATACCATTATACCATAAACACATCCAGACTTACTACACCTGGTATTACCAAGAGGTCACACGTCTAGGTAAGAACCAGACACGACGTTGCGTAACTTCGGTGATCGTACGGGAACAGGTGTTTTATCATGATATGGCCATAAGCCTCCAACCAAGGCTTATACACTTATAACAGTAAGAATTATAAGATACTTGTTTCGGAATTTGTCCTCCAGATCTTATTAATGTTCTAGCTGAGATATTTAGAACAGTACCAAAAAATTTAGTCTCATGAATAACAAACTAAACTAGACTTAATGAATATCCATGGAAATATTTTACATTTGTGTTTTATATTCAAACTAGTTTTTCTTTAATCTTTTATGAAATATCGCATTCATTTCCTGACCGAATATATTCTAAGCAATGTTAATCTATAGCTAAAGAAATCGTTGTGTTTCACTTGTCATATTATTTTTCATTGTCTTTAGACACATAAACCCAGACAGGCAGATATAGATATATCCAGACACGCACTCAAATAATCATGCTTTAATAATTATATCAGTCATACATAATTATCTATTCACGTCTTTAACATTGGTTTCGCCTGATCACCGAAGTTAAGCAATATCTAGCCTGGTGAGTAGTGAGATTGGTGACCGCTTGAGAATAGCAGGTGCTGTAAGCTTGGATGTGCAGATGGCGGCATGAATAACGGCTCAGAATTGAAAATTGAATTTCCAGTCGAGCTCGTCATATTCACTTCCACGAAAATATTCTTAGCAAAGTATAAATCCACCTCTACGCCCCCAACTATGGGTTAAATAATATGACGTGTGTCGGCCTCCATCTGTTTTCTTGAACCCTGTGTTGTCCTTTCCTTAATACTGGCCATTATTTTTCGCTTTTACTTCCTGTAACCCACTTCGTTCTAGTGGCATTACCACCTTTCGTAGGGCGAAATGATTAAAATGCTTACATTATAAAACTATTTCCTGGCTTGCAATAAGCTTTGTACTGTTGGTAAGCCAGATAGAAACAAACAGAGCAGTCAATATTCATTTCCTTCGAAATTTATTTGTATATTTCTTGTCAACCATTTTTACCGTTTGTTCCAAAGTAATTTTATCCTGACGACGACTTCAAAATGTTGACGTTAGAGTTTATAATGAACTATGTTTTTGTTATTAAATCTATATCAGCAACTTCAAGAGAGTGTAATGCTTGCATTGCATCAATTAGATATATGAATATAGCACATGTCCTGAGCAGATTACATCTCAAATATCTAATATAATTTGCGGAATGAAAACCTAATTTTCCTTTCCCTTTAAACGAATTGAAATATGTTTTTTCTTTTTTTTTCAAACCATACGATTTCTATCAGAAATCTGAGTAACTTTAAAGAAAGTCTGAGTTGGAAATGATTATATAATTAGATTAAATACACTGAGGCATAAAATAAAAAAAAGCAAATCTTCGAAATTTGTTGTACTACCCAAAGGTGTTTTGACACTTATTTTCCACTGTCGACATTGTATTAGACCACCTGGGTATGTCTGCTAACGTCTCATACAAGATAATGCTTACAGAAGATTGCGACAGAGTATTACAATTTTCCGCTCTGAAGTTTCTTCATACCATGTCTTAGATTGATAGAATTTTTCTATGTTACATTTTATAAAACTATTGCATGTTATTTAATAGTAGGGGAATAGTTTTATACTGTAAGAAATGTTTTGAGATAATAATAATAATTTACTGACACAGGTCGTACTAATTCAAGTTTATTTGCACTTAAGCGAAAATATCGAATCCTACTAGAATTGGAACTCGGATCTCTGATTACCAATTCCGAGCCGTTATTCATTAAACCATCCGCACATCCAAGCTCATCACAAGCGGTCGCCCATCAACGTACTGACCAGGCTCGACGTTGCTTACATTTTGGGATCGGACGAGAACCGCGTTTTAAACCTGTATGTCTTATATAACGCGTGAAATCTGCTCTTAGTAAAGCCTTAGAACTAAAAATATAATATACTAGCAGTAGAGCCCGGCGTTGCCCGGGGATATAACAGTAAGAGATAGATCAAGTATCGACCATCATAAAGACTGAAAAATAAAATTGACAAAGATTATTGTTTAAGGTTGACGGACACGCATGTCTTAATTAGTTTTTTTTTTTTTTACGAATTGGTCAAACCCAAACTCAAACAAAAACATTGTTTTCAATCGTTATGAGTCTCTACCGATTGAATAGAATTTTATTATAAACAATTGTCTTGTAAATAGAATTTTTAAAGCATTCTGAATGTAAAAATAAAGAAAAAAGTGTGCAAGACAATAAGAAACGCTACATACCAAAAATAATTGAAGTTTTGTTGAAATCGGTTGAAAAATATAGGTAGCCTTTCTGTAATCTTTTAGTTTTACAATTTATGATTTTTACTTATTGAATACAGTAATAAAAATTGCATATTTTGCTTGTGGTGATTCATAATTAGAATTCTGATTTGAATATATTTTCCACTCGTTGTTTCTAATACAAAAAATATTAACTTTATTTTGGTTTATTAATTATGATCTAACAAATCTTATTCATTTAGTAGCCTTTCTGTAATAATAATCTTTGACAATTTATGATTTTTACTTATTGAATACAGTAAAAAAATTGGACACCATGTGTATTTAAAGTAGTTTCCCGTTCCGGTTATTATTTTTAGTTAGGACTTGTGTATGTTTAGATTTCATTATCTTTCCCTAAAGATAAAGAATTTATCCGATGTTTGTATTCGTACAATCAGTAGAGATCGTTAGATTATTGTTTAAGGTTGACGGACACGCATGTCTTAATTAGTTTTTTTTTTTTTACGAATTGGTCAAACTCAAACAAAAACATTGTTTTCAATCGATATGAGTCTCCCGATTGAATAGAATTATAAATAATTGTCTTGTAAATGGAATTATTAAAGCATTCTGAATGTTAAAAATAAAGAAAAAAGTGTGCAAGAGAATAAGAAACACTACCTGCCAAAAAAAAATAATGAAGTTTTGTTTCATCGGCTGAAAAATATAGGAAATCCGCTCCCATATTTAAAGGAACCCACACACACACAAACAAACCGATGTGAGTTGTCCCCCTTCCATTTTCACGATGTCTTTTAATCGTGTTTTCAAATTGATTTTGTGCAAAACCAATTATATTTTCCAATTTTTGGCGCTGTTAGAACAAGGTAATTTTATGTAGTCCTGTGTAGTTATGTTGAAATCGGTTGAAAAATGTAGGAAATCCGATCCAATATATAAACGTTACAGACACACACACACACACACACACACACACACACACACAATCTGCGTTTTATAATAAGTAAGATATTACCTGTCATCATTATTCAATTTATATACTGCCAGACTATTGCCTTCATATTTGCTGTTGTTCCCACAACGTTGCGGTCGTTTTACTCTCTGGCCTTCATCAAGTCCTTGTCGATCCGGATAACTTTGAAGGAATTTCGGACAAAAAACTTCACGTGATCTCCAGTTAGATCGTTCTCATTCAGTCATACACTTTTATTACAATTGCATTGTTTTATTTTATTACAGTTGAGTTATTGATCTAATTAAACTGAGTCTATAGTTTCACTAGTTGTTCCAATGAATGAACATTCAGTTACTATGTCTCCGTTAAGATAATTACAAAAGAGTTTAGGGCACAAGTTCGATTGAAAATAATGTAACTGTTGAGGGCACTTGTCTGAATGGAAGTAATGTAAACAATGTCAAATCCTAAGTCTAGAAATTCAGACAGAAAATAAAGGGTGCTTCATTAAGACGGATTAAAGTCAACAGTAAATAAATCAGTGTTATTCGTAAAAAAATATTTATTACTCTATTGGATCATGTTATTTAAGTCATTGCAATTATGTGCGAAAAATAATACCGCCCAAATGTCCGCCAAATCTGAAAGAAAAAGAAAAAAAAAAACTCATTAGATGCTTAAACTTAATTCACATTTAAAATCGGTCCAAGTTATTGGAACACGCTTTACCTTTCATCATTTATGACAAGAAATATTTAAATCGATACAATTAACGTTTCTACATTGGTTTTACTTAAAGTGACGTATATTATTTATTCAATAAAATTATTAAATTTTATAGAATTACAATTTTTTTTCAGATAATGGAAATAGAACAAGCCTTTATTCGGGGTAAAAATAAGAAACGAAAATAAAAGGGTTTTCTAAAAAAAAGAAACGTTTGTTAGTGTATCTCCCAAGGAGATTTTAGTTGCTTAGTACTGCTGGTTACTGTTGAAGGTAAGAAATCACAGTGCAAAATTGTAAAAGGAAAGCTGGTATTAAATAAAATAATAATGATAAATGATACACAACGTTTATCAGTAACTAACCAGTATGGTGCGTCGTTGTGTCGCGACTCAATTCACAATTCTGCCATCTTGTGTAAACGAAAGCGGGAAATGACATTAAAACAAGTTTCAATCTTAAAGAGAAGAGTCATTTATTTTCACATTCTGCCAAGAAAACGTGTAGAAAGATCGGAGTTCAGTTATAAAGACTCTAGAAAAGGCATTATATCAAAATAATCGATGAGATTTAATCATGGTACTCTATTTTAATATTGTCAATGCAGACAGTCCGAATATCAGAATCATATTTACAGTGGAGGAAGCGTGTATATATGTGTTGGTGTGCCCGCGCGCATGTATATGTGTGCTTGTGTGTATGTGTGTGTATGTTTGTGTGTGCGCGTACACAGAGAAACATGCAGATCTATTTTCTGTTTTGTTTTCTTGCCGAAAAAAAGAACGAAAATTCTTATAAATCTTTCTTTTTTTTTTTCTTTCTTTAATCTTGTTCTTCCCACGCAAGGCAATAAAGCCAGTGAGGCACAATGGGATACTGGGTGTGTAAGAATTAGAAAACAGAAACATTGATAAGAAGCTAGAACTAAAGAGAAATCAGAATGACATTTGAGAGCGATTGACATTGCATTTAAATGTTTGCAGGTTAATGTTGGCGTGAAAGTAATGAGTTCCACAAGAGAGAAGTGCGAGAAATTAATCTTTTAGCATGGAAATTACGGTTACAACAAGACAGATCAACTGTAAATCGATAAGATCTGCAACAGCAGT